TGGAAATTTAATTCAAAACTAGTCTCGCCACGCAACCTAGAATCGAACATGGTCAGGAAAGTTTCCAGGAAGACTGGAGGGGTCACACCGATCCCACTTAAAACCCAGTTAACCTTAGACAAAACTTTCAAGAGCATGTTGACTCCTAATCCATGGGAAACAACTTTAAGAATTAAAATTTTCAAGGGATGAACTAGGTTAAACACACCAAGTTCCAAACTGTACAAGTAATTACAACAAAATTGCTACAATAATTACAAGCAAATAAAACGTGCTTTACATATTGGTAAATAATCACAAATGAACACTAAAGCAAACAATCGCTTCAAATATTTAGTCCAAATTAATCCTTTTTTCCATTTCCATAGGTATTCCTATAATAAAGAGTTAGCAGCAAAATACAACAAAACCTTTCTCAGCTTTTTTTTGCTTTTGGCAAAGTAGTGATTGAAGGGGAGGGTACTAGCAAACAAACTAATAAATAACTGTAAGTAAAGATTAAAACCAACCCTTAAGTTACACATCTAGAATTTAAACAAAAAAAAAAAACTGTAAAAAATTAATTACATAATAAACATGTAATTAACTATATAAGTTACAGACCTAAATTAAATATAATTAAACCATATTTTAAATTAGTAAAGGTTACATATGAACTTATGGTACACTAAACATGTAATTAATTGAGGCAAGTTACAAACATTTCATAACTCCTAAATACTTAAATCACATTACTAGGCAAGAATTGCAAATGACATGATTAACATGCAAATAATTCTAGAGAAATTAACATGAATTTAAATATAGGCAAGTTATAAACTTTACAACTCCACACCTAAATTAAAAATTAATAGGTACAAGTTACATGAAAATTTACTACCTAATAAACATGCTAGAAATGTAAATTACACTAAAAATTAAACCCGAATGAACATGTAATTTATATTGTAAACTAGAAGCATGTGAACTAGAAGCATGTAAATCTAGAAATACAAGGCATGAACCGGTACACCATAAATTAATAAATTAATTAGAAAATACAATGAATTAACGTTGCACCAATGAAACTCTTCTTCCCTATTGATAACAGTGGCCTATTCCATGCCATGGGAAGACCAAACAGTAGCATACACAAAATGGAAAAATCAAAAGTTTAACCCTGTGTATATGCATCTAATAAACCAATTAACTCACTAGTACTACCAGTGGCTAATTACATGCAAAATTATTACACACATATATGAATCTATTAATCTAATTCTATGATAAACGTCGAATCTATTTTAAGCTTGTTGGGAAAAACTACTCATATTACATAATTTCACATTGCATATCGCAAAATTATGAGATGAACAAAACAAACCTTCAATCTCAGGAAAAATAACATGCTGAATAAAATACAGATAAAATATAAAATGGTTAAAGGAAGCAAACCGAAGTCTGTGTGATACCACAATCTCCTTAAAATAGATTCGCCGCCTCACCGTTGGGTGCTGGAGGTACACTGGCGTCTACTTCCCAGGATATGACGGTTTTTACCAGCTACAACAGAAGCACCTTCTGATTAGCTTAGCGAACGGACAACGGCAGCACTCTCTCTTATGAAGAAAATTATAGGAGAAGTAGACTGACAGTGTATGGATGTCAAGGAAAAATTATATATATCTTTTCAAGGAATAGGGCCTCCTTTTATACACCATCGGGAGAGGAGAGGAGCTTCTAGCCATCAAGGCTGGCAACTAATGCTAGCAAAACTGCCCAATCAATTTTGTAAAACTGATGAACCTTAAATGTGTGAGTTATATACACATTTATGAGGCAATTTCTTATTCAACAATTTTTCTCCAACAACAACTTCATAAATAGTAATCTCAATGAAAAGGTATTTGTTTGTTTTGTTTTGTTTTTTTTTTTTTTTTTGAGAACAAAACACAGCAACACAAATATATTAAGCTAAAAATATTGTCTTACAGTAGTTGCAAGATGGTGAGCATCTTGAACTACATCTCTCTCTACCTTCTTTAATACAACATGATAAAAAAGTTTACAATAATACAATATATCAGTCAAAATGGATTGGAGACTCCAATCATGGTCTTGATCATGATTTTGGAATAATAGTATTAGGACTAAGCAGTCCATTTGTAAAAGCAGACTTGTGATGCCGGAGTTGTATGCCCAACGCAAAGCCTTAAGAATCGCAGGCACTTCGGTTTGTTGGGGAGAGAGCATTGGTGGCCCTAAAATAGCTTCCTCATAGACCCGCTGATTATCTAATGAAAAGGTATTGTTTTGTCGTCGAAAAATCTAATGAAAATATTTTAAAATCCCACTTAGCCTCTGTTTGGCAAGATGGTTTTGAGGCTTTTTTGGCTATTTTAGCCACAAAAAACAAAATAGGCTATTTTAGCCATAACAAACAAAACATCACATCCAACCCATAATCATTACATTCTTCTCTCACAAAAAAAAGCCAAAAAAGCCAAAAAGTCCTTCCCAAACCAAGCTTTTTAGCCCAGGCTAAAATAGCCAAAAAAGTCAAAAAGCCAAAAAGCCAACCTACTTCCCAAACGGAGGCTTAATGTATGCGGATTTTAAAATAATCTCAATGAAAAGGTATTATTTGATCGCTGAAAAATCTAATGAAAATATTTTAAAATCCCACTTAAGGATTTTAAAATTCAAAAGTTACTTAAGTAATAAATGTATAGAAGAAATTATTGAGCGAAGATCAACTGAAAAGCAAACCTTAACTGCAATATGTCAATCATAAAACAACGAAACTCTAAGATTATTTTATAAGCAAGTTTTTTTAAAAAATTATTTAATTATTTGTTGTAATCATAAACAGAGATTAAAACAAACATCATATATTTTAAAACACAGATTTAAAAATTAACTTAAATTAAAAAATAAATTCAAATTAAAAAAATGCCACCAAATAAGTTTTTGAAATTAAAAAAGAATACGTATCTGAACCCAAAATTTATCCGGAATAATGATATGAAGTAGAGTTTGAATTTAAGTAGCGTAGAGTCTTACATGTAGAATAGATTTAAACTAATTTTAAATAACTTTTATGTAATTTGTAATAATTATTGTACGAAAAATATGAAGAAAAAAAAACCACTCCCTCCTACTACCATTATCTAGAATAATGTTTGAGGGCCCGAAATTAGTGGTTCGAATGTGGCTCAAAACCCAAAACGATGTCGTTTTGGGTTTTGGGTTTTGATTTTTTTTTTTCCTCCCTCTTGTTTCTTTTCTTTCTTCTTCTTCGTTTGAACCTGAGAAGCAGAGGCGAGAGAGAGAAACAGAGGGGAGAGGTGGGAGCTCGTCGTCGGTCGTCGGCCAATCGTCGCAGCTCGTCGGTCGTCGGCCGATCGTCGCCTCTGCCTCCGCCCGCCTCCACCTCCACCTCCACCTCCGCCTCCCTCCGCCTCCGCCTCCGCCTCCGGCCCTATTTTTAGGGCTCCCTCCAGTTCTGTTCCTCCTTCTCTTCTTCCTCATTCTCTTCTTCTTCTTCTTCTTCTTCTTTCTCCTTCTCAAATTTGAGCCAAATTTAACTCAAAACCTTTCCGGCTCTGTAGCAGAGCTGTATTATCTATTACCACCAGCCACTTCGGATACTGTGGATGGAAAAGTATTAGGTAGCTCTAGAGCATGCATTCTCATTTTCAACCAATGATCAATTGCCATGTCTTTTTATTGTCAGTGGGTCCCATTTTTTAACCAATCAGATTTGATTTAAAATACGACGTGACCTTGTCCCTGAAGCGCAAAAAAAAAAAAAAAAAAATTACAAATACCTCCTTATTAGAATTTTTTATTTAACAGAATTAACTTAAAAAATGAAATTCATAATTACTCTCATATATAATAATAAAATTACCTAAATTATTAATAATTGAAATATATTTTTAACTTCATTAAAAATTATTAATTAACTTCATGATTTATTAATAAAATAAACGATTTGTTATAAAATTAGAAATCTCAAGGGTGAGATGTAATTTTCAAAATCATATGAGACAATTCGTATGTTAATTAAATCTAAAGAAGCATATTTATAATTTATCAAAAAAGATTATCCAGAAATAATATTCAAATTCATATCACGAATTTCACATCTCATCAATTTAATTTTCACATCTACCCATTTTGGATAAAATTTAAACCCTAATTCTAGAATTTCAGACTTTTTCTCACAAATTTTTTTAAAAAACAATAATGCTTGAGGCCTCGAATTTGAGGCATCGAATTTGTCTCGAATTCCACTTTCTAGTTTGTTTTTTTTTTTTTAATTTAATTTTATTTGTTAGATTGTGTTGATTTGATTTTTTTTAAAGGTGGTTATGTGTGGGGGTGTGTCAAAAAATTAGACATCTCGCAATAATTATTGTACACAATTATATTGAATTAACAAATTTTAACTAGCAGCCTAACTGATCAGTCAATTAGATTGGACTGGTTAAGTGATAAAATTGACACATCAATTAAACTGTTAGTTAAATTTTGTTAATTTGATATAATTTTGTACAATGAGTTAGCACAAGATGTCTAGTTTTTTGGCACAATACATAACCACCCTTCAAAAAAAAAAATTAACACAACCTAAAAAAAAAGGAGTTGGAGCTAAATTCAAGATCTCTAACACTGTCGTTTAAAAAATTCTAAAAAGTATATTTTAAAAAGTTGGTTAGAAGTTAATTTTTAAATTTTCTTTAAAAGAAGATGTAAAACAATAGAGAGGTAATATAATTTTAAAAAATTCAAAAAACTTATAACTTAGCTTTTAAGCTAATGGCCAAAAAAAAAAGAACAAAAATTATTATACTTTTTATCAAACGTTTGTTTGGTAAAAAATTTAATACTTATATTTAATAGTAACTTTATTGAGGGCTTGTTCAAAAACTCTTTGGTAGGACCCACAAGGATTCGGGACATGATCCCGTCATATTCTTCGCTATATAAGTCCTTCTGGAAACCCTTCACATACTCACTCTCAAACCCAGACAGACATCTCTGTTTCTGATTCTTCTTCTGGTAAACCCCCTCTCTCTCTCTCTCTCTCTCTCTCTCTCTCATCACAGCTTCGACGACGGCTTCAACTAGGTTTGATCGTTCTCTTTCTTTCTCTGTGTTGTTTTGATATCATATCAAACGTGTTTACAAATTTCAGTAGAGCTTTCTTTTCTACATCACCATTTTTTTTGTGTTGATATCAAATCTCTTTGCAGGTATCAAGAGTAGGAGATTCGTTGCTGCAGCACCAGCGAAGCCCGATCAACATTGAAATGGCGGTTTTTGACCCGACTGAGTCATTTCTACGATCTTCGGTACGGTTTTGTGCTCTCTCTGTGTCTTTGTGGTGAATTTTAGGGCTTTCAAAGAATGTGTTTGTAATGGTTTTGGTGGTTGTTTTTGATACAAGGCCTTCTTCACTCTTCAACTGAGATTTTTAATTTGTTTTTTGTTTAAAAGCCAAACTACTTTGCAGACCATTTAGATCGGTTGATTTTGGAAAACAAAAATATGCATTTTTTTTTAGTTTATAACAGTGGTGAAATGAGAAGGCATGGATATGTAATTCTCATGTTGAATCTTTTCAGAAATTATATAAATTGAGGGAGCTTAGTGGTTGTTTTTTATACAAGGCCTTTAAATTTTATTTATTTATTTTTGTTTTTTGTGGTTTAAAAGCCAAATTACTTTACAGCCCATACAGATCGGTTGATTTTGGAAAAAAAATAAAAATAAATAAATTGCATTTTTTTTAGTTTATGACAGCGGTGAAATGAGAAGAAATGGAGATGTAATTCTCATGTTGAATTTTTGAAAAAATATACAAATTGGGAGAAAGTTTGGCGGTTGTTTTGTTTTTATTTATTTATTTATACAAGTTCTTTTTCACTCTTCAACTGAGATTTTTAATTTGTTTTCTGGTTTAAAAGCCAAATTACTTTACAGCCCATACAGATCGGTTGATTTTGGAAAAAAAATAAAAATAAATAAATTGCATTTTTTTTAGTTTATGACAGCGGTGAAATGAGAAGAAATGGAGATGTAATTCTCATGTTGAATTTTTGAAAAAATATACAAATTGGGAGAAAGTTTGGCGGTTGTTTTGTTTTTATTTATTTATTTATACAAGTTCTTTTTCACTCTTCAACTGAGATTTTTAATTTGTTTTCTGGTTTAAAAGCCAAATTACTTTACAGCCCATACAGATCGGTTGATTTTGGAAAAAAAATAAAAATAAATAAATTGCATTTTTTTTAGTTTATGACAGCGGTGAAATGAGAAGAAATGGAGATGTAATTCTCATGTTGAATTTTTGAAAAAATATACAAATTGGGAGAAAGTTTGGCGGTTGTTTTGTTTTTACGTTGTTCAAATTTTTTTAATTTTTTTTTTCCTTTTCTTCTTCCTCCCCTCCCTTCTTCCTTCCCCCTCTCTCCTCTACTCTTCAAAAAAATGAAAATAAAAATCTAAATCTAAATCAACAAAAACGAAAAGGTGTTTGGCACCAACAAATGATGTTTTCAGTTACCAACTGTATTCAAAATCAAAGAGACAAGACAACCCACAGCAAATCCAAAAAAAATCAGTTACCAACAGAAATGATAGTTTGTAAATTCAATTCAAACCCACAGCAAACTCAACAACTCAAAATCTCACATGAAAATCAAAACTAAACAAACAAACTCAAAAAAAAAAAAAATCAAAAATCAAACCCACAGCTACAGACAAACCCACATGAAAATCAAAATCAAAATCAAAATCAAAATAAAAAACTCAAAAAAACTCACAAATCACCAAATCTACACAAATAAAAAAAATCAAAATCAAAATAAAAAAAAGACGAGGAAAAGAGAGAAGAACAGAGGAAGGAGGAGAGGAGGAAGAAGCTGCCGTCGCCATCATTGTTGCTCTTTGTCGCTGTCACGCCGTTGCTCTCCTACCTCTTCTCTCTTCCTCCCTCTTCTCTCTCTCTCCTCTCTTTTCTCTTTTCTTGTTTAAAGAGAGGGGAAAAAAAAAATTCAAAACGATGGCGTTTTGAATTTCGGGCCAATCGAGCCTTTAACTTTTCGAGCTCTCAAGCTTTATTATTATTTATTTATTCAAACAAGAAAGAAATCACAATGCCTCCGTTTGGGAAGTGGGTTGGCCTTTTGGCGTTTTTAGCCTGGATTAAAAATTTTGGTTTGGGAAGGACTTTTTAACTTTTTTGATTTCTTTTGTAAGAGAAAGTGTAATGATTATGGGTTGAAAGTGATATTTTGTTTTTTGTGGTTAAAATAGCCTATTTTGCCTTTTGTAGCTAAAATAGCTAAAACAGTCCCGTTTAGCTCTTCCCAAACGGAGCTAATGACTCTGTTTGGTTTGGTTTAGAATTTTTTTTCTAGAAGGTAAAAATTAATTTGGGGAAAAAAATACATATCATTTTTATATAGTTTATCTTTGGAGGGTAGAGCAAATTTTTAAAAATTAAAAAATATCATTTTATGTTTATTTTTGACAAATTAATTTCTATTTTAAAAAAATTAAAATTAATTTTAGAAAATCAAACCAAACATATTTTCCTCTTTTTTTCTTTTCTGTTCTCTCTTTTCTAATTATTTTTTTCTTTCTTTTCTCTCTTTAAGTTACAATCAGAGTGTTAAAAAAAAAAGTGCTTTAAAATCTTGGCCGTCGAAGTCTGTACACCAAAGATGAGTTCGGGGTCAAGACCAGTTACTGATTTAGGCAAGGAGAGTGTTGAAAACGGGACTGTTCCCAATTTTATTTCGCATCTGAGATCGTCATTTAAGCCGGGTGAGTTCGACAAAGTGCAACAGATTTTAATGGCTCGAGAAGAGAACATGAAGAGTGAAATTGCTCTTTGGAAGAAAGAGTATGAATATATGGAAAAGAAGAACTTGGAAATGGCAGCAACAAATTTTAAGATCCAGGAGGAGCGAAACAAGTACAAGGTAGAGCGGAATGAGCTCAGAGAGAAAAACAAACGTCTTAAGGTAGAAGATAATATTCATCGTGAGATAGAGGAAGGTCACTGTAAAAGATTGATGAAGGCTGAAGAGAAATATGAAAAGCTATTGGAAAGGCATAGACAGGTTCAGAGTGAGAACGTAAAACTTGTTTTGATGCTTACAGCGATGAATTCTGCGAAGAATAAATCTCTGTATGAGCTTGAGATTAATAAGAAGAGGTTTGAGGAATTGATTTTGCGAGTTTTGCGTGTGGAGGATGAAGCTTCAATGTTGATGGTTGAGGGTCATGCGTGTGAGAAAAAGAAAGAGGACATGGGAGCTGAGAGGCCAGTTTCTGATAAATTGATGGCGGAGAAAACTTCTGACAACGGAAAATCACAACATGAAATGGCTGTTGGAACTGTGGATGAAAGCTTGGCCAATCTACAAAGCAATGGGAGTTCATCAAATTGTGTTGAAGAAATCAATTCTATGGCGGATTCTGACTCTGTTGCTGTTTCTCTGGGAGTCGGAAGCAATCGTTTGCAGGAGGCTGGTATATTATTAAAATTTTTATAATTTTTTTCAGTCTGGACTTTTCTTAGCTACCTTATTACACCATATTGATTTTGGTTAATAAATTAATTTGCATTTTCTTTTTCTTTTTCTTTTTCAAGCTTATGGCATCTGAGTCGATTTAATAAGCCTGATCTTTTATCTGTTTAGTTCCAGGATGGGCCTGCTTAAGGAGACCACATTAATGTAGAATGTTTTTAATTACACTATAATTTCGCGACGTGCATGGTGCATGGAAGTTGAATAAGTGGAGAGAAACAGAAATAAAATAAAGTTGAAGTACATTCTTTCTACCAAGAGTCAAATCAATGGTTGGATGGGTTTTAATACTCCTATATGCCCCATTTTAGCGGCGCCATTAACCAGAAATGGCAAGGATATTAATATGGTTAAGGGAACAATGACAAGGATGCCAACATGGCCCTTTATTGCGTTGATGTAGTTTGAGGTATTATTATATGACTAAAATACTCGTATAAGGTTGTTTTGGTCATTTCCTATATTTAAAGTGGTGGCTATGGTTGATCTTTTGGCAACTAGGTTACATAAATAGAATGTAGATGTGAAGGGAGGACATGATCTTGACGACTAGAAAAATACATTTTACATGCTAAGGGTTGTTTCTTGAAATCATGAGTGCACTTGCTTGGATATTGGGATGATTGAGTGGGTCAATGTTTTATTTGACGGGATCCTTTTTAAGTATTGGCTGAACATGTACATGTGCCATTGCAAACGTATGCTTTGGCATACAACAGATTGTTTCATGGTCTTGTACCCAAATTTAGTAAATATTGTATATCTACACAAAGTTTCATGTCCTTCATGTGCCGCCTTCAATGTACTTCAACTAATAAATGAGTACCCTTTTTATCCAACATTATATATTATTACCGTCTTCAGGAAAAATGAAAGGAAGAAATAGATAAGTGTTATGTTTAATGAAATAAAAAATAGTTATCAAGAAATTTTCTCTTTTCATGTTGGATTAAAACTAATTATGTGAATGAATATTTTACTTTATTTTTTTTATATGAGAGAGGAAGAACATGTTAGTTTCAACCATAGTGTTTATGAACAAGTTTAGCATTACTTCAAACATTAAATGTCAATATTTGATATCTGACTGGTATGTGGTATTATATGGACATGTTTGGCACTCGTTATTAAAAAAGCGTACTAGGTTACCAATTTGATGTGGCATGCAATCAACAGTTTTTTTGTTTGGCCAGATATGTTGGAAACTTTGCCTGTTTCATTACTTCAGTGTGTTATGTTTATTATTTATACATAATTTTGTCTTTATCCTTTTTTTTTTGGCTGTGGGTATTTGTTGACTACTTTTTTTGATAACAGAGAATGAACGAAATGCGAATTGGAAAAACGAAATGAAAAGGAAGCGACAGTGTGGCATTTAGTTAAAAAATGCTATGGAAAATGGGAAGCAAAAAGAAATAGAGAATCTGACGAGGAGTTTATATGAAGGAGCTAGTAGTAGGATCGTTAATAAGATTACTCTGGAATAGTTGAAGAGTTTTATCATGAGCCAAAGTGAATAATTAGAGATTTTTTGTGTAGTGAATGTTGCGTGTCATAATTAGAAAAAAAACACCCAAGGGCCTAGAAAAAAATTATGGGAAGTGTTTTCTCATAAGTTTTCCTGGCATTTCCTTTGTGTGTGCTTTTATGAAAAGTTTCCTTTATGTTTGCTTAAAGTTTCATAATGTTTTGGATATGTCTTCTTGTGGGTTCTCCTAAAATTTTCAGGAAGATTTGTCCTAGCTCCTGAAACAAATTTTTCTCTCCAAAACCCAATATCCCAACCATGGTGGGTTGGCTTACTGATATCAGGTTTCGTTCTTGTCAGGAGTGTTTCTTTACTTCTTCTTCTTTTTCTTCTTCTTTTTTTAAAAGAGTATTTGCCACTTGCCTGTTACCAGGTCAACTCGTTGCCAATATTGTTACAATTGCCAATACTTAAAAACCATTAGGTTGAGGTTTTCATAAAGGAAGAATCTACCAAACTGTAGCATTGCTAACAGCATAAAGCCTTTGAGGAAGGTTATGTGACAAGGAGAGGAGATCCATGAAACTTTTAGGTTTGTTAGATATTTTCATGATCAACATTTCTTAAATTGCAAAATAAGCTGAGTAGCTAAAATTTTTTGGAGGTAATGGGAGATGAAAATGTTCGTTGTAGTCATTCTATTGTGTTATTGTGTTGAAAATAAATTAAAATAAAATTGTTGATTTGCATTGATAGTGGAGTCAGATAAGGTAGGATTTGTTGAACTTAATTTAGACCATTCATCTTTTATTGCTTGCCTAGTAGATCATCCATGTAAGAAATTAGGATCCGATATTAGTAGCCATATGATTGGATCATATTTGTCTTAAATAAAATAAACGGTCTATTCTTGAAATCATACTTGTTGTCCATTTTTTTCAAGACAAATGTGATCCATAGTATATAGCTGTAGATGTTATTAATTGTCTAATGTTCAAAAGCGGGGACTGAGAAATATTTATGTATAAATGACAAAAATCTAAACAACAAAAAAGAAAGAATCAGAATTGGTTAATAGTCTTCCACCTCTCCCTTCATTGTGACGTGGCTTGGCTTATATGGGGATCTTCATTGTGCGGTTTTTGCTTTTGTGATTCATGCTTATATGGGCTAATGTTCGTGTTTTTTTTTTTTGTTTTTGTTTTGGGTGAATAATGTTCTTGTGTTATGCTTGCTGATTTCTGTAATATTAAAGGGAGCATTGTTGAAATTAGCCAAAGTCTTTTGCTGAATCATTTTGTTTTCAAGGAGAGGCTTGTAGTTGAATTACTAGATTTAGTGGTTGCATATTAACTTGTGACTCGTGAACTCATGTTTCTTTTTGTAAGTGTAATAATTTGGTGGTGTGGCTTAAGGTGATCTACTTGTACACTTATCTCCTATTAGGTTCCACTTATGCCAATGATTTGACTGTTCCTTTATGATTTTTTTATTTTTATTTTAAATGTGTTAGAAATTATCTCTCTTTTTTTTTTGAATTATTTTTGAGATACTGGTGAGCAACCAGAATTGGCCTTGTATTACAGTTGGGATCTGGCACTAATTAAATTACTTGAAAAGGCCAAAAAAATAACATTGGAGGTGTGGTTCAAAGAACCATCTATTTAGTGACTCAGTTTTGGAGCACATTAGCCATATTTCGGTATATTTCCTATGAATCAATTTTTTATTTTATTTTATTTTATTTTTTTAAGTCAATAGTGCCAACCGGAAACTGTTTTTGATAAAGATCTGTCTGTGTCTGTTGCAGGTGCACATTCTGTCATCATGGCTTGTAACAACCCCATCCAAGATCAGTTGGTGCTTGAAAGAGGGAGCTCCAACAAAGTGAAGAATACTTCTGTGGGATGTGGCAGGAGAACTGGATATGGTGTTATCATTGACTTGGATGATAGTGATGATGAGATGCCCACAAAGGATGGAACAACTAGCGTGCCCAATGTTGTTGCTTCACGATTTATTCTGAGTGATAAAGAAATAGGTAGTGCACATTTTCATCAGACTGGTGATGAAAATGGGACTGGTGATGAAAATGGGAGAAGTTGCACAGAGAATCGCCTCCTGTATTCAAGTACCAAAAGAAAAAGAGGTCCATGCACTAACATTGATGTGAGTAAGAATGATGATGACGATGATGTTGATGATGACATGACTCCAATTAATAAACTTAAAACAAAGGCAACTCAAGAGTTGATTATAGATGGGGGTGATGGTTCTGACAGTGCAGATAGTTCTTCTGACATTGAAAGTACGATTAAAAAGCTCCGAAGTAGGAATGATGATAATAAAACATGGTTATTTGAAATTGACATGATTTCAGCATTTCAGAACGATCCCAAACTATGCATGAATGCTGTTTGTGCTCTTTATAGGCAGCAATTGCGTAAGTGGCAATCCGTTAATGGCTCCTCTTTGACCAAGAATCAAGGATTTACTGCGTTTGATTTAATGAGGTATGACTAAAAAGAGGCAAGCCGTTTGTTGATTCCGTTCATTGATTACCTTCGGTAATAATTGCGATAACTATTTCACCTAGCTACTAAAATTAATACATTGCATCACAACACATAGTGCACCATTTTGCTTATGAAGGATAGCTGCAACTGATATACTACTAGGTCAGGCCTCCATTCTTACGTTTATAAGATAAATATATATATTCTGTTATGTTACTTTTTACAAATTACAGTTTGCAGTATGTTATATCTTTTTTCTTTTCTTTTTCGCTTTTTCGTTCAACTTATATCTTATGGTGATTTCTTGTTAAATTTGCACAATTTGGTAATTTTTTATGATTGCTATTTGCATTGTAAAAGGTTTTGAGAATTTGCCTATGTTGGAAGGTTATTTATGTTTATAACCAACACATGGAAAATATAAAAACATAAAAAGGAAAAAGCAATTGAAAAGAAAAGAAGAATAGCAATAGGTGGTGATTTTGGTTTCATATGTACTCACATAAGCATATAGATATTTTTTTCCCTGAACAAGTGGATGCGACATGTTACCTTTTGTGATTTATGGTTTCTTTGATATGATTCTGGGATCCTGATTCGATGCACACACTCTATAATCAACTGCTTTCTCTCTCTTAAGACACAGTTACCGAGAGATAATTAGAGACATTGAACAGGTGGATACTCAACTATCAATTTTTAGAAAATATACGTGTATGTGGAAGAAAAAATATTAAATATTGTTAGAATTCACCACACCTACTACACCTACCACCAATTCACCCTTACCTACTACACTCCACCTACCACCTCCACTACCATCTTCACCTACTCCCAAATCCTCTCCTATATAAATCCTTGTAATATACACAACATTGATATAACATCAACAACAATCAATCAATAAATACATCAATTTCAACAAATATTTTTTAATTTCAAAAGAAATCTACAAAATTGTTTTGGCAACACAACCATGTTTCTGTAGTAATGAACTACCAGGTTGTCCAGTTTCTTTTCTTAGAAAATTAATATACAAAAAACAAAAAATACAGATTTGCACAATACACTCATTTTATTCATATCAGGATCAACCCTGATCCACATTTTACACCAAAAAAAAAAATGTCATGTGAACTTGCGGATCTAGGTTCACGAGTCACATACCTATTCTTCACTTAAAATTTTGTATTGTCCTATTGGTATTGAATAATTACTGGTCTGTTTATGAAGAGAAGTTACTATGTATTGAATAATTATTTGTATTGTCCATATTTTTATTAACTTGTTACCTGCGAAGGTTTGTCCAGTGTAAAGGGCGGCATATGATAGATAATTGATCTAGTCACGGGACAAAAATATCTAAATGATCAGTTTATGACTAGATGTTACTATGTTTTCTGTAGGCAAATAGAATAGGTTTCATGTCTACTAATAGATGTTACTCTGCCACAGCTGCAGTACAAGTAGGGAAGGTTAATGATATTGTTTCGGATATTCCTTCGTTTTGTCCCCTTAGAATAGTATCATTATGTCACGTTTTACTAGCAGGACCATGCATATACATTGCTGCTCTTTGTATTAATTTGTGTGTACAAATTTTGTACAGGGGAACTGCTTTTGGCGAATATCTTACCGCTGGGGATCCTCAACGTAAACTGAATAAATCTGTTGCAGAGTTGCAGCAATATGATCCACTGGGTCTTGATTACTGTAGAAAGTTGGCCATGCGTTATTCGCACCAGTTATTTGAGATTCACCAAAAAGAGGAAGATCCTTTTTTCCTTCCTACCTAAGATAATTTGTCACTTGTGCAAATCATAGTGGAGTCTACCATTGCGAGAAGCAGATCCAAATTCGATGGGATTGTTGGGGTTTAATGTTTTCTCATGATTATAAAACACTTTCATTTTAGTTTTTCGGATGGTTGTTTATGTGAATTTATGACATTATATGTTTCGTGTGTGCTTTTTTTTGGCTGTAACTTGATGAATTCTTGAACTCCCTTGAATTCTGCACATCATATAAATCTTGTTTAGTTGAATACAATCAAGCATAGCATCAATACAGTTACTGTTTTTGTGAAGTAGAGCATTGTAGTTGTTGTGAGCTTTGTTATTAAAATCTTACGATTCACGATTCGATTTATCATTTTTGTAAAATCAATACGAATCTATAGGTGAATTTATTTTGGAAGTGAATCTAGTGTATTGCATGATTGACGATTCGATTTACTTTTTGCGATTCATGCAATTTTTCAAATTATCGTATTTGACATATTTTCAACTCTTCTTTTGTTTAGTAAAAATATCATAATATAACTTGTAATAGCATTTAATACCAAAATAACCAATATGTATATATATGTATGATTTTTTTTTATTTTAGTGATCATGAAGTTTTTAATAGGATTTAATCAGATTCAGTCAGACCTAATATGTTTTTAATCTTTTTTTCTGCTTTTTTCTCTTTAAAAAATTATAATATACCTTCTAAAGATATTTAAAATTAAAGTTACATTATAAATTATCTATTGTTATTTTATTAAATTAAATATAATTAAATATTATATATGTGAGTTCAATTATACATGTGTGAGTAAAACAGTGTCAGCTAGTTGAGAATGATGGTCGATGCAATGAAAGAATTGCCACCACCATCACCACTACTCTACTACCATCATCTGTTTTTGATTGGCCACTGCCCCACTCTTGATGATACCGACTAGGGGTGGACATCAATTGGGCCGGGCCAGACTGGGTTGGGCTGGGCAGGATTTGTATATAAGAATTTGATGGGCCACTGCCCCACCCTTGTAGTTACCAAGTGTAGACATCAACAGGGGGTGGGCTGATTTGCATAAAAAAAATGTGTAATGTCGAGTTCAACTTGCAGTTACCGATTATATGTGGACATCAATATCGCCGATTCGGGCGGGCCGGATTTGTATGAGAAAAATGTGTGATGTCAAGTTTGACATGATTTTAAGACTTTTTGAATTAAATCAAGTGAGAATTTGTGGAAGAAATAACAGAAGGAAAAAATTAAAAAAAAAAAAAAGTTTCTGTTTCATTCACTTTTCCTTTAATTTTAATTTTTAATTTTTAATTTTTTGCAATTTTCTACTCAAATTCTTAAATACAAATTTTTTAAACCTCAATTTAGCCAATTTAATAATTATTTGAATTTGAGCCATTAATAAAATCTAAAAGTAAATGAAATTGAACCTTTTAATTTAATAAATGTTTGAATTTAAGCACAAAAAAGAAACAGAGTATATTTGATGCTGTTTTGCGGGGACATTTTGATTTTTCAAGTGAACCTTGGCCATCCATATGCAGTAGTGCCAAAGATGTTGTTAAGAAGATGCTACGGGCTAATCCTAAAGGAAGGGCTTCTGCAACTGAAGTATTAAGTAAGTTCAAACCCTGAAAAGATTGTTGAGAATGTGGTAATAGCCTCTAGGTAACTATGGAATGAAAACGGAAAAGGAGGGAGTTATTTTTTTATTTTTTTAGGAGCCAGACGCCCTGAGCACACGAGACCCAGATGAGTCATTAAGGAGCAATTGCTAAAGGCCTTAAGGGGATTCTAGCAAAAAAAACTGGACCCTTTGTTTACAATGCAGGCCTTAGTGTCAAGGTTGTTAAAATCAGAATCTTACGTTGGATCGTTGGAGGTGTTTATAGGATTAAATCGTAGAATCGGATCGAAAATTGTAAGATCCTACCGAAAAAGACAAATCACATAATAATTTAATTTAAATAAATATTTCTTAAAAAGTATACATAAAATGAGCCTATATTCTATTAAAAAGAAGTGAAGATATTGTCAAAAATATAATACTCCATATAAAATGTACATATAATATTATACAATAGAAAACTTGATGATAAAAGTTTTGTATTTTATCAAAAAAGAAGGTGAAGAAGAAGAATTTTATAACAAAATACTTTACAATCTACAATAATGCATAAAAAGTGAAGAGAAAATATTTAATAAAGTTGGATATGAAAATATATTAAGAACAAAAGAGCAGCTTAACCGAATGATAAGATTTGTCGTTATTATCTCTGATAGAGCGGATTTGAGTGACAAAAATAGTCTCTCCAAAAATTAAGATAAAGTTGCAATCATCCTACCTTCCTTAGACTCCGCTGAAGCGAAGCTTGTTTTTCTAACTAGTTAATTTTCTTAAATTACTGCAATATTCGAATATTTGTTTCTTAGTTTGTTTTTCTTAGTCTATTTGATTCAATACTACTTAATTTTTATTATTTATTTTGACCAAATAAGTTGATATTTAGACAACAAGCATAAAATTTACAATATGTCATACAATACAAAATAAGGCTTGTAAATTGGATCGGATTCAGATCGGGATTCCACGATCCTATAAGATCTCATTACCAGGATCGAAAGATCCTACCTATAAGAAATTTTTTACACGATCCGGATCGATTGTACTCAAATAGATCGTAAGATCCGGATCAAGATTCTAATTATCATGATTAGTGATACACTCAATATATTGATTGATCTCTTGGTCACACCCTTCCTATATTAAAGTTTCCTGGCCATTTTCTATTTGAAATCTTGGCAGTTTACATTAGTGACAATACCATACGGAAGGGTTTGAATATTCACCAAAGATCCTCTAGAGTGTTTTTTTTCCTAAAGTTTTCTAAAGTGGTGTATTGTGTGGTTGAAATTTAATGTTGAAAAATCGATGTGACTTGTCATTAAATCTCAACTACACAATGCACCACTCTAAGAAACTTTAGAAAAAAAAAACTCTAGAGGATCCTTGCTCTTGAATATTTAGTTCCTGCCACAAAATCCATTGTAGCTGTAGTAAAAGTGATGGCTTGATCTTTCTTTTACGTCACTTGGGGTCAATTTAGACCTTAAAAAAAATTTAATGCAAATATTAGTTGGACGTTAAATTATTTTTAGAGAACCTGGATTGATCTGCATTACTGATGCAGTGCTGATCGAAACAATAGTAACAATCTTAAGATCCGTTGATTCACACAAGAATACCGAAAATAAGACTCTTCTCTAGACCCGTTGATTCCTCAAGAATACCGAGTTTAAAGGCTCAACCAAAGTTGATTCACACAGAATTAACCAAAGTTGGAACAAAGAGTAATAAAACTCAAAATATATTAATCATCAAAAACTCTCCCCCTTGCCCTAAGGCTTACATCTTTATTTATAATGAACCTAATTCTTGTAGAACAAGAAACAAATAAAATAGGAAATAAAATCAAAACTAAGAAAATAGGAAAACTACATCATATTAAATTAGGAAACTAAATAACTAAATAATTCCATAATATTCTATACCAATTTAGAATATTCATGGTCAAATATTAATTTTAAAATAATAAAATAAAAATGCTTATTTTCTAAAATTCAGTCTGCATCATTCTTCCCCGCTTGAGAAAACTCGTCCTCGAGTTTCCATTACTTGAAATAACTTGGTACGTCTGCACTGATCCGCATCAACCTTGTATTTGAGGTTAATTTTCTCAAACCTGAATTGTAAACGAGAATCTTCTGAAATTAAATAAATAATTTTCTTCATTAAATTTAACCCATCTTCTTTGTAGTACAAATTCTGACTACAGAAATTTCGCTTCGCATCTTCGAGCAATTGATCTTCAAATACACTGTAATGAAAACTCCACGGATGGTAGTTTTGTTGGAATAAGTCCATTCCCATCTCGACTTCAACAGGTTTTCTTTTTTGATCAAATCCATATGGTAATGAATTTTTGTCTTCTTTGCTGGACACGAACAATATGACCCCATTACTGTCATTTTTCAGTTCTTCCACTTGATCATTTTTCCTTAATTCAATTGCATCACTAAATTGCAAAATCTCATACACACAGCCATCAGTTAGAGCATATTCACGATGCCTAAATTTTTCTTTGACTTCATGAATTTCAATCTCATTCTCCACTAAATATTCATCAAATTTAGGAAGTAAATTCCAATCAACTTGTGATTCCAAAAATAAAGTATTTATATCTAATAATATATCATCAAACTCTTCCTCACTAAATATTTTGTGAATTATAGTACCTTCTAGATCAATTTCAATTTCGTCTTCTATATCGTCGAGAAAATCTCCTACGTCTCCTTTAACTATAATTTCTTCCATGACTTCTTCACGATACTCGTCATATGAGGGAGGAAAACCCCAATTAACTTGTGAGTCGGAAGAAAAGGAATCCAGATTCATAATTACCTTTTCATCTTTGTCAAAATATGGATTACGAAGTTTCGGCTATTGTTGTTGTTGTTTCTTCATGGCAATGGACAAGATTGTAATATGTTTGGCTAGAGCATCAATTTGTCGTTGCATTCTCACTTTCTTAGCCTCAAAAACTTCATCTACAATACGTCTCCTTAGTGGCATGTTTGCAAGAACGTAACCTGGCTCTGATACCAACTGATGCAGTGCTGATCGAAACAATAGTAACAATCTTAAGATCCGTTGATTCACACAAGAATACAGGAAATATGACTCTTCTCTAGACCCGTTGATTCCTCAAGAATACCGAGTTTAAAGGCTCAACCAAAGTTGATTCACACAGAATTAACCAAAGTTGGAACAAAGAGTAATAAAACTCAAAATATATTAATCATAAAAAACTCTCCCCCTTGCCCTAAGGCTTACATCTTTATTTATAATGAACCTAATTCTTGTAGAACAAGAAACAAATAAAATAGGAAATAAAATCAAAACTAAGAAAATAGGAAAACTACATCATATTAAATTAGGAAACTAAATAACTAAATAATTCCATAATATTCTATACCAATTTAGAATATTCATGGTCAAATATTAATTTTAAAATAATAAAATAAAAATACTTATTTTCTAAAATTCAGTCTGCATCAATTACTCATTATGATTACTGGTCAATTCAACATCTTGGTCAACAGATAAGGAGTGATGGTCCTGATGGAGGTTATGTGTGCATATGTTTTTTATTTATCAATATATATAGACACATGTTTTCTCTACTTAACCCCAAAACTACTTAATCATATACATTATCTTTTTTGTGGTACGAAAATTCCATTATTTTTTCGTAGATTTAAGTCAAGAAATACATCACTTAACATTCCATGTGCTATCTAGTGG